TCTGCGGAGACGGGCTGGAACGGGCGGCTGCGGGAATTGTTAGCAGGAAGAAATGTTTGTCCCCAGGCCATGGGGTTTGGGAGCTGACCGGCCAGAGGTCAGAGGTCAGAGCCCGTGAGGGGAAATGCATCCTCTTCCCACCCTCTAATCCTCCCAGCCCCCTAATCCCATCAAAGGAGAGCGGGAGGAAGGGGCTGAGGGACCCCCACCCCACCCCCACCCCTCACACAGAGCCTGCGGAGGGATGGAGGCGCCACCCCACCCCACCCCTCACCCCACCCCACTGCTCAGACCCTCAGGAAGCTGGCTCTGCCCTGGAACCTTCCGCGCAGGGGCATTTCCTAAGACAGGGCTTCCTCCTGGTTGCTCCGTTTCCTTTGTCCTCACCCAAGACGCGTGTCTATTGATTTGAGAGAGAAACATCGATCGGTTGCCCCCCAAAAGCGCCAGGCCAAGGACTGAACCCACAATCTTTTGGTGCCTGGGACGGTGCTCTAACCACTGGACCACCCGGCCACGGCCATGCTTCTCTATTTACAGCGTCTGGGATCCAGGCCCCCCTCACAGACTCGGCCACGGGCACGACTGCCGGCTCTGAGAGCTCGGATTAGTCATGGAGCCAGGAGACGTGGCCTCCACGCCCTCCGCCTCCAGAGGGGCGGCCTGGGCCCACAGCCCGCGGCAGCCACTGCGCAGAGGAAACCGGTTTAGAAGTAAAGGAGGAAGGGCGCGCAGGCTCGCCGTGGGCTGTTCTCTCTCCAAAGCCCAGTAAGCGGCTCCCTCCGCCCTCCACCTCCACGGTCGGAGCCGTGTCTCTGGCAGGGCCCTGGGCAGGGGCTCTGGGTGGAGAGAGACGTGGACACACGTGGACGTGGGCAGGGAGGCCGGGCCACGGCCACGGCGAGCGTGGGCCCCCACAGGGACGCGCAGGCTCTGTGGCCGGAGGGCGGTCTCCGGAGGCAGGCCAGGTCCCCTGTGGCCGCCATGTCTGAGGTCAGAGGGGAAATTGTTATAAAAATCACTGAGATGGACCGTGTGGACATTCAACAGTGATCCAGAGCGCTGACCCATGAACCTGGAAATCAGGGTTCGATTCCCAGACAGGGCACATGCTTGGGGTCATGGGCTCGATCCCCAGTAGGGGGCGTGCAGGAGGCAGCTGACCAATGATTCTCTCTCATCATTGAGGTCTCTCTCTCCCTCTCCCCTCCTCTCTGACATCATCTGAGTCCATCCCCAGGCCCCGGAACAGACGCTACGTCCGAGTTAGTTGAGTGGGGCCCACAAGCCCACCGGTGATTTGGGGTCCCCACCCCCCGCGTTGCTCTCTGTCCATGAGGCTCAGTGGGACGGGGCCAGGCAGCGGGGACTTGCCGGCCGGGCTGGGCTGTGGGGTGAAGGCGGTGGGTCCCGGAAAGCCAGGGTGCTGGTGGGCTGGGTGGGGGCAGGCCGGGCAGGGTGAGGCCAGGTGTGGGGGGCGGAGAGCGCCCCACGTGGTGTGATGAGGGAGGACAGAGTGGAGGCAGCTGGTGCTGCCCCGGAAGCAGCCGGGGAGGAGGCAGAGGGAGGCCGGGGGCTGCTCAGAGACCTTCCCCCAGTGACCGGCCTGGAGGGAGCTCCCAGGTGAGGAGCCGGTCGCGGGGCGGGGTGGGGACGGATGGGGAGGGAAGGGGAGCCAGGTGGGAGAGGTTGGGGGGCCTGGGTGCGAAGGGCCGCTCTCTTCCCCAGGCCCCTCCTTGGGGCCTCACTGTCTCACTGGGGCGTTGGCGGGGACGGGGAGGGCACAGGCTCTGCTCTGCGGGGCATGAGCAGGAGGCGGGGGAGCTGTGCCCACAGGCCAGGCCACAGGGAGACGCTCGGGGAGGCGGGGACGGGGGACCCCTGCTCCTCCCTCTCTTCCTGAGTCCGGGAAGCGGGGACCCACCTGGGAGAGGACAGGCCGGCCCTCGGCATGGAGAGGGCGCCCGGAGGCCGGGGAGGGCCTCAGGCCCAGGGAGGGCCCGTCCCCAGGGGAGGGCTGGCCCGCGGGCCCGGAGGGAAACACCCGCAGGTGGTGCTGACTCCGCCTGGACGGCAGAGCTGCTCCTTCCCAGCGGGTGTGGTGACCGCCTCCGGAGTCAGCCACGCGCCCGGCTCCCCGGCACCTCGTCTCTCAGAGGAGCGAGCAGACTGGGGGCCTCGGGGTGGGCGCAGCATCGGGCCGGCAGGCAGGGTGGGGGCCTGGGGCACTGAGAGGGGGTGGGCCCCGCTCCTCCCGGCACCGGAAATGTGTCTGTGCCTCCCAGTCCGGCCGGGAGGCTCCTGAACACCGGCCTCCGGTCACGGCCAGAATCAGCTCCAAACGGGCACAAATGCACCTGAAAATAACAACAACAAGCACCCTGCAAAGGCAAGTGGCTGCATCGCATGTAGGACAGTCTCTCTCTCTCTCTCTCTCTCTCCCTCCCTCCCTCTTCCTCTCTCTCTCCCTCCTCCCTCTCTCTCTCTCTCTCTCTCTCTCTCTCTCCCTCCCTCCTCTCTCTCTCTCTCTCTCTCTCTTCTCCCCCTCTCTCTCCCCCCTCTCTCTCCCCCCCTCTCTCCCCTCCTTCTCCCCCGTTCTCCCCCTCGCTCTCCCCCTCGCCCTCGCTCTCCCCCTCGCCCTTGCTCTCGCCCTTGCTCTCTCTCTCTCACACACACACACACACACACACACACACACACGCTCACACCAAAGTCCCGCATGTCCAATGATCCGGAGAAGGTGTGCGGCCGGAGGGGCATATCTCTGGCAGACCTCCCAAAATGGTAGGCACCCAAAGGTCATGGCCGTCGCGGCCCGCAGGAGGGTGGGGGAGCAGGGCCCTGTTTGGAGGGGCATCTCTGAGCTCAGGAGCTTCCAGAAACGCAGGGTTCACACAGGCTTTGAGGAGGCAGCTGGGTCTGCCCCCATCTCCCTGCTGGAAAGGTTCCTGTCTTACCCTGGTCCACGGGCTTCTACTGCCCTCCAGTGGCTGCCCATTGAAATGGCCCGTTGGTGCTGCCTTGCAGGCCTGGGCCGCCCAGGTTCCCTAAGGGCCTTGTCCCCGCCGCCTCAGAATCCCCCCTAACTCACTCCATAGAGGCCTAACCTGCTGATGCTCCAAACCCCTGAGAGAGGGGTGGGACGCCGGCACACTGACATAAAGCAGAGCCCTCAGAACAAAAGGGAACCTGTGGAATGATTCCTTCGGGGACTGGCCAGAAGCACAGTTTCCAAACTGCCCACTAGGCAGCAGCGCTGCTCTCCCTGAGGCTCCAGAGCCGGTCAGATAGGAATGCACAGGCTGTGCGGCCACTGGCTGCTGGGGCTGGGCTCTGCCTGGTGACCCACGGGCAGGTGGAGGGAGCGTGACAGGTGACGCCGCGGCCTGGAGGGAGTGCCGCACGGCGCGGCTGTGTGCGGCGGAGCAGCTGGTGAAGGCGGTGCTCGCCCACAGGACGGCTGCTGAGCCTGGTCCAGGGCATCCCCTCGGCTCCCAGAGGAGAAAGGCAGGTGCCCTGGTTGGTGTGTCTCAGCGGTTAGACCATCGGCCTGTGGACAGAAGGGTCTCCTTTGGGTGCCCCTCTGCACCCCGTCGTCCTGCTCCCGTGGTGGTAGACTGGACCTCTGTCTGTCCAGCTGCTCCATATCCATGCGGCTGTCACACTCAGCACTGGGTTCCGGCTCTTACTGCGCGTCTAGAATAGACCGAGGCCTGGTAACTATTGGTCACTGCCACCTGCGGACACCAAGGCCCTGGCCACAGGAGCCCGGGCCCGCCCGCCGTGCACACGGAGTCCCTGCCGGACGCCCTGGGCCTTCAGACACGCTGCCACCTCCGGCCCGGAGAGACGGCGGGCCCAGGGCAGTGCTGGGTGGGCACGGCCCGAAGTTTGATCCGGACGGGAATGGTCACATGACCAAACACTCCGAGGATCTGGCAAACCCAGCGAACCCCAAAGGCCACGTGCCCGGGGCGCCCCGCGGAGCCCAAAGTCCAGAGCGGGAGTGCTCTTGACACTTTGCTCCTTTACGGACACGCACCCGCCCTGGGCGCCCGCCGCCCGGCCCCTGCCTCTCGGAGCCGCCGTGGGACCTGTCTCCTGTCCTCCCGGCAGGACGGACACACCTCCCAGCCAGGCCACATGCCCCCAGCTCCCCGTTAAATGGATTAATTATAAGCCATGGCGTGCTGTGGCCCGGGCTGGGTGACAGCTCACCGGGGAGCCTTCGGGGCTGCGTGACTCACGGGGGAACGTCCCACTGAGGTGGCCGCGGGTCCAGAGAGCCGGCCGGGCAGAGCATCCCGCGGAGGTCAAGGGTGAACATTAAAACCTGCCCCTCTTGGCAAGGACTGGAGGCGGGAGTCAGTACGGGCTTTGTTTATAAGGTAGTTTGTTAAAACGAAACAGAAACAGACTCGTGGACACAGAGAACACATGGAAGGTTGCTAGAGGGGGAGGAGGGAGAGGAAGGGGACAGGGGGAGGTGACAGGGGAGAGGGCGGGACGGGAACACTGCTGTTCCTATCTCTTCCTCTTCCTTCCTCTCTTCAATTAATAAAACTATACTTAAATACATATCTACTGGAGGCTTGGTGTACAAAATCCATGCACATGGTGGGGGGGGGGGCGGTCCCTCAGCCCAGCCTGCACCCTCTCCAATCCGGGACCCCTCAAGGGATGTCCAACTGCTGGTTTAAGCCCGATCCCGCAGGATGTCCAACTGCCCTCTCACAATCCAGGACCACTGGCTCCTAACCGCTCCCCTGCCTGCCTGCCTGCCCGATTGCCCTAACAAACCTGCTTGCCTGCCTGATTGCCCTAACAACCCTGCCTGCCTGCCTGATTGCCCTAACAACCCTGCCTGACTGCCTGATCACCCCTAAGGGCTCTCCCCTGCTGGCCTGATCACCTCTACCCATCTCTGCCTCGGCCCCGCCAGCATGGCTTTGTCTGGAAGGACGTTCGGAAGGATGTCTGGAAGACGTCTGATCTAATTAGCATATTACCCTTTTATTAGTATAGAATTGACATTGAGCCTCCTTTAGGCTGCAGGGTAAAGATCCTCTCATTTATATTTTCACTTTCTAATCTCTTCCCCACCTTGGAACCCCCACATGCGTATCAGCTCTTCTGCCTCCCGCTGGGTCTGTCATGGCAGGACCCAGGGGCCAGGGGCCAGGTCCTTCGCCCCTGGATCTCCTTCTGCCTCCAGCATGGGGTCTGGAAAGGCGAGTCCGTGTCCCTCTGGCATGGAGGTCTTCCTTCATGAGGGGAATTAAAGCACCTGGCCATCCCGACCAGACCGCCATGGCGGGCGCTGAGGCGCTGAGCCCCTCGGGGAAGCGGGACACAAGCCTTTATTACCGCAGACAGCAGGGCGGGCGGGACGGCCCTCCCCCGCGCCATCGTCCGGCTGCGCTGTCCACCACGCGGACCAGAGAGCTTACGCCTCCATCGCCCGCCCTTGTGGGAAGGGGGCAACACGTGTGAGGAACGTGGCGTCCGGAGAGACCAGAGCCGGGCTCGGTGTCAGCCGGCTGCCGGTGGCCAGGCCGTGGTCCGGACCGGCTCAGGGCCGCTGCGGGGGAGCCGCCCGCAGCCCAGGCCCAGTGGCCGCCCAGGAGCCGCGCTCAGAAGAGGATGCCGTCCCGCGGCGCCTGCTCCACCGGCTTCCGCTGCTCCTGCCGGCGCCGGCGCCGGGCCTGCTCGAAGAAGCCGACGTTGACGGCGGTGAGCGCGCTGAGCAGCAGGACCAGCAGCAGCAGCCAGAAGGAGCTGCCGTAGCGGTGCGCCGCCCCGTGCTGCCCGGCCAGCGGGTAGCGCGCGTAGAGCGCCTGGACCAGCGCTTCCGACAGCCCGTTGGCCTGCACGTTCCCCACAAACAGCACCAGGGCCAGGAGGGCCAGGGAGCCTGCGGGAGGGGACCGTGAGTGAGGGGGGCGGGCACACCGGAGACAGACGGCTCCCTCGGGGCGTGTGCTCCGCGGGCATTTGCCAACTACATGGGTGGTCTCACCCAATGGGAATGAAGGTGAACGCAAAGACCTACTGAGGCAGCTGGAGTCTAGGCAGAGCTCCCAGTGTGCGGGGGACAGGGAGGGGCCGAGGGGTGAGCCGTGTTCCTGACGTGGGTGCCAGGGCTTGGCATGGGCACAGGAGGGGGTGCCCTCGGGAGGAGAGCCCGCCACTGCCTGTGCCTCAGCGTCCTGGGACAGAAGGCTCTGGGCGCCGGCTCCTGTCCTCCTGCCTGTCCCATCCCGCCCTGTGACCTGCCTGCGACCTGCCACAGTGCTCACTGCTGCTCTTGGGGTCCCCGGTGGAGGAACAAACGTGTTGGAGCAGCCGGTTCTCTCCGGCTCCCACATTCTCTCAGCCTGTATGATGGTGCCTGCATGGTGCAAAGGGCAGGCTGGGGTCAGAGGGCACAGGCCCCTCATGGTGCAAAGGGCAGGCTGGGGTCAGAGGGTGGAGGATGATTCTGCTTGTCCTGGAAGCAGAGTCCTCTCAGTTGTCTCAAAAAACAGGGGAGCCGGAACCAGTTTGGTCAGTGGATAGAGCGTAGGCCTGCGGACTGAAGGGTCCTGGGTTCGATTCCTGTCAAGGGCAGGTACCTTGTTTGTAGGCACATCCCCAGTGGGAGGTGTGCAGGAGGCAGCTGATCCATGTTTCTCTCTCATCCATGTTTCTAACTCTATCCCTCTCCCTTCCTCTCTTTAAAAATCAATAAAATATATTTTAAAAAAACAACAAATAAACAAAATAAAACAAAAAACAAACAAACAGGGGAAAGACCTGTGGGAGCTCAGAGGAGGTGGTGGGGCCAGAGGTGGTCCTGGCCTCAGCTGCTCCGAACAGTCTCCTCCGGACACATCAATGTCTCCCATTGTTTTGCGCCCACCCAGTGCTCGAGGGAGAGGAATGCGGCCGGAATGCCTCATTCCGGTCAAACACGTCTTTGTTGGGAGAAGTAGGTGGGGAAGGGGGTCCTTCCTCCTTGTTTTCCCTCAAAGACACATCCAGCCTCGGCCCCTCCAGCTGGCAGGCAGCTCAGCCTCAGCTGAGGAGCGGACAGCCTGCACCTGGCACGAGGGCTCCCTCTGGCTGAGACGCCTCCTGGGCTCTGAGCCCGGAGGCTGTGGGTCACCCTCGGCCCTCTCCCTGCCTCCACCCCGACTGGCCCCTCGGAGCCCCCCAGCCCCGCTGACCCAGCCCCGCTCTCCCGGCCCCGCTCCGGGTGCACAGGGCCCGCAGCCCGGGGAGGACAGCTCCGCGCACTCAGCCCTGCAGACGAGGAGGGGGCTCGGGGAGAGGGTGCCCCCTGGGTGCCCCCTGATTTGGGGAAGGGAGCCTTTCTCCGGGTTGTTTCCATGGTGATGGGCCAAGGACGGCTGGCCACCATGGCGCCTTCGGGAGGACCAGCGGGGCTGCTGAGTGGGAGCGGGGAGCTGGGCTGGCACATCGGGAGGCAGCCCACGGGAGGGAAGCAGAGGGCGGCAGCCGGGGCTGAGCCCTGTGCCCCTGCTGCCCCAGACTCGGCAGTGGCGTGAGCCAGAGTTAGGACCATCTGTCTCACCGGCCGATGAGAGTTGCCTTTGGCTTGGTCAACCGAGGCCAAAGGTAACCACAGAAATAGCCTGGGAACCCTGGCCTGGGCGAGGCTGTGAGCCACACTGTGAGCGTGGGCAGCAGGACTCCCTGTGCTGGCCCTGTGCCTGGCCCAGTGGGTGCCCACTGACCTCAGGATGGTTTCCCCCACCAGGCAGAAAAAGCTCAGCAAGAAAGGGAGGGCCAGGGCACCGCCCCCAGTTCCCTACACCTGCCCCTGGCACCACTCCCAGCTCCCCTACACCTGCCCCTGGCCCCGCCCCCAGCTCCCTACACCTGCCCCTGGCACCACTCCCAGCTCCATGGCACCTGCCCCTGGCCCCGCCCCCAGCTCCCTGACACCTGCCCCTGGCTCCACCCCTAGCTCCCTGACACCTGCCCCTGGCCCCGCCCCCAGCTCCCTGACACCTGCCCCTGGCTCCACCCCTAGCTCCCTGACACCTGCCCCTGGCTCCACCCCTAGCTCCCTGAGCACCTGGCCCTTCCCCTGAGCCCCCGGCACCTGCCCCCGGAGCAGACGCTCCGCCTGGCTTACATGTTACAGGGCTGGCTCCCAGGGCGGGAGCAGGAGAACGCCGGCTGCCTGCTGGGCGGAGAGGTGCCCCTGGGCCACGCCTCTGGGCAGAGGTGGTGGCCGCAGAGCCCGGAAGCCACGGAGAGAGGCAAACCTGCTGTGACTCAAGCTGGTTCCCTCCCCAGCAGGCAGCGGCCCCACCCTGCCAATAAAATACCCAGTAACCCGGGCTCCTCCGCCGCCCACGGAGGGCGTGGGCACCAGCTCTCCTGAGCCACGCTCTCCGTGGCACAGTCATGTGACGGGCTGACTGATGGGATATGGAGATGAGAAGTACCTAAGTATGCACGTGTGCACGTATGCTTGCGTGTTCCATGGGGGGAGCAGTGTGCATGCATGTGTGTGCGTGTGCTCTTCTGTACATCACAGGGAGCCTAATTCGGAGGGAACCCATAGCAGGAGCCGGGGGGTGTTCGGTGACGTGTGTGGCTTGTTGAACCCCCACATGAGGTGCTCATATGCTTTCACACCTACACGCCCTCCACCCCTCTCCTTGCCTCTCACCACTGCGTTTAATGCAGACTCTTGTTTCCGGGGAGGCTTGATAAATGCCGTAAATATGCAAAAATAACCCCCAGCCCCACCGCCACCCTTTCCCCTCCACCCCAGCAGGCCCCGCACTCGCAGGCGGACTGAGAGGAGCGGAGGCTGGCGAGGGGCTGCCCGGAGCCGGGCGGCACTCACCGCTGAGCCCGCTCCAGGTGTACACGCCCAGCGGCCCCAGGAACGTCTGGTAGGGGTTGCTGACACTGTTGTAGAAGGTGAAGCCGGCGCTCAGCAGCGCCGCACACAGGCTGAGGACCAGGCACAGGATCACCACCGAGTGCAGCGTCTTCGGGCCCGACTGGCCCAGTGTCGCTGAAACTAAAGTAAGGTCGGTGAGAACGAGGCAGGAACGCAGCTTCTCCCATGGCCCCACTCCTGCGTGCGCTCTGCGGGCAGGCGCATCTCTGGGACCTGGGGATCCCCACGGTTCCCCTCCAGGCCCGTCCTTGGCCCTCAGGGTGCAGGGTGGAGCCACGTGCTTCCGGCTAGGGATCCACCCCAACTTCAAAGCCCAGGAGAGCAGGTGCCCCTTGGTGAGCTGCTGCAGAGGCCAGCCTTCCCCGGCAGCTCCGGCCTTCGACCCTGGCCACTCGGCGTCCTCCCAACTTCATCGGAGCTCCGACGGCTTTCCTATGGAGGCGCGTACAGGGCGGGCCACCCTGAAACCCCGAAACCCTGAACCATGGCCATTCAGCTCTCTGCACAGCCTCCATGATCGGTGTCATTGGTTCAACTGCAAACTAGCCCTGCCTGTCACCACCTGGTGCCCGGGTGGGGGTGGGTGGGGTGCCAGGGACTACCTGCCCTCGGAGTGGGCCACCTGCCTTCTGGGGGGCCACCTGCCCTCGAAGGGGGCCACCTGCCTTCTGGGGGGGCCACTTGTCCTCTTGGAGGGGGTGCCTGCCCGCTGGTGGAGGGGGGCACCTGGCTGGGCATGGCTAGGCCCTCAGGCTGAGCCTCCTGCGTCTCTGGCTCACCCAGGACCTGCAGCGGCGGGCACACACCTGTTTGGAAACTCAGTGGGAGGGGTGCCAGACCGTGAGGAACCGGAAGCAGCAAGACACCTTGTTTGGAGGGGCAGGTGACGCCGAGGGGCCTCGGGCTGCTCTGGTCATGCTCGCCCAGCTCCCCCTCCACACCAGCTCCCCCTCCACACCAGCTCCCCCTCCACTGGACCCTGAACCAGAGAACAGGGGCTTCGGGATGGAGGTGCCCTGAGCCCAGTGCCTGGAGCGCCGCTCCGCCCTCTGCCCTCCGCCCTCTGTCCTCTGCCCTCTGCCCTCTTAAAGCTGCAGGTGGGCGACCACTGTTTTTGAGGAAATGAGGGACGTGACCGGCAGGCGAGCTTTGCCTGTGGCTGCTGGTGAGACCCAGGGACGGGACCCTTCCAAAACCTGAGGACTCACTCCCGTGTTAACGTGACAATCCGCCGTCCTTTCCCAGCTACACGTCACCATCATACTTCAGCCTCTGAACGCCTTGCCCCACGCTTGTGACCGCCCTGCTCCCTCCGGCCTGGCTCAGAACGCAGACCACGCGAGCCGGGGACCGAGAGAAGGTTCTCGGGGAAATAGTGCCCCAGAGCATCTGACAGCTGCTCTCCGCCCGCAGAATCTGCAAATGCACCCCGCTCCCCCTCTTCCTCTCGGGGGCCAGGCTTTGAAATCCGGAGAAGCACCTCCTGATTGGAACTAATTGCCCGGATATCGGCAACTGGGAGAGAGGCCAGCGCGCTGCAGCTGGGGGGCGGGCCGTGCGGGAAAACGTGCCGCCAGGACCTCCGGGCTCCGGCGCGCAGGGACTTCACCCTCAGCATCCATGGCCTGGTGGGCGCTGGGCACTGCCTCTCCCCCTCCTCCTGCACCTGGCCCCTGGGAGCAGAGCCCGGCGGCGTCTCAACCCCAGGGGAGGGGGTGGGGGACATGGCACGTCCACAGGCCCGGAGCGTGGGCTGCTCCAGCCGGCGTCCCCAGCCTCTGGGGACCGTGTCAGGTCCTCTTGGCGAGAAGGGTGGGTGCTGTCTTCTCTGCCCCCCACGCCCCGCTTCCCCGCGTGGTCAGGCGGCAGGCGCATGGGACGGGCTTCTGTAAACCGTGGAGGAGACCTCGCGTGCCCTCCCCGCAGTCAGGTGACCTGGCAGCAGATCCTCTCCCGGGCTGTTTTCGGCGTGGGCCGAGAGTACAGGTCTGAGCTCCCCAGGGACACACAGGGGTGGGGGGAGGAGAGGCGGGTGGGCAGGGGAGCCGGGCTGCCAGGTTGGGGGGAGACTCTCTCTGTGCCCGCGGCTCCTGGCAGGCTGGCTTTCACTACTGCGAGTCTTTTTCTAGAAAGAACAGTGAGCCCCGCGAGCCAGGCGTGTGTGCAGTCCACGGTGCCCACGCTCCTCACTGCCACAGGAGTGAGGAGCAGCCAGGGCAGGTGCTTGCGTGGACAGGAGGCCTGTCCCTGCCCCTCTGGCGATGCCTCCGGTGACGCTGGCGGGGCTCCGGGCCGGCGAGAGCTGCTCCGGCCATCGGCCTGCACAGGCCTCGCCCACGACCTTCCCCACCGGGTGACCTGTTGCTGACCGGGTTCCTCCGCTGCTTTGAAATCGGCCACAGTGACTTCCTTGGGCTCTTTCGTGTCAAAATCCACAGCCCACAGGGCCCAGCGGGACGCATCCCAGGGAAGCGGAACTGAGCCCTTGGTGTCCACAGGTCCTAGGAGGTGCTCAGTGTGACCGCATCCAGCCACGCTGACAGCACACGCCTCCATGGAAAGGCAATCCCAGTCCGCCCCGCAGGCAGCTTTCCCCGGCGGCCAACCACGGGCACAGCCCCGTGTGCTCACAGCCACCAGCAGAAGAGCGGCATGTGTCCCGGTGACGTGGGGTTCTGCCATCCAGGGCACACCCACGGTGCAGCGGCAGCGGGACAGGCTCCTTACAGCCCCTCTCCCACCCCTTCCTCAGAGCTGGGCCCCTGGCTACTGGGGCTCAAATCACCAGCAGGAGACTGCACCTTCGCTGGTGGGGGCGTGGCTTCTCTCCTCCAGCACCTGGGGGCGTGGCTTCTCTCCTCCAGCACCTGGGGGCGTGGCTTCTCTCCTCCATCACCTGGGGGCGTGGCTTCTTGCCTCCAGCACCTGGGGGCGTGGCTTCTCTCCTCCATCACCTGGGGGCGTGGTTTCTCTCCTCCAGCACCTGGGGGCGTGGCTTCTCTCCTCCAGCTCCTGGGGGCGTGGCTGACTTTCTCCAACATGGGGGGGGTCCCCCACAGTGACGTCGGGAGGTTGGAATGTGGCTCTCCAGAATAAAGCCGAATAAAGTATCAAAGGAGAGAGCCAGGCCAGGGAGTGCCATGGTCCCCGCTCCATAGCGCTCCCACGTTGCAGGGGGTGCCCACGTGGTCCCGCCGCCTGCGGGCTGGCCTTGACCCCGCTGTCCCGCCGCTGGACACGCAGGGCCTCCGTCGCCCACAGGCTGCAGGGCCCGGCCTGGCCCTGGCCTCCTCCGAGCCTCCCGGTGTGTGGGGCCGGCGCTCAGGGAGCCATTGGCTGCAGATGGAGCCACCGCTCCACACAGACGCTGGGGAATGTTCAACCCCACGGGGTGCTAGTTCCTATTTTAGACTTTCTCAGCGAGCCTGAGACTCAGACCCAGCACCGCTTTGAAAATGTTGTTCACGTCTCTCCGCTTTGAAAATGTTGTTCACGTCCGGAAGTGTGACCGCATCTTGGAAAGTCTGGGCTCCCAGCAGCTGCGCCGCGGATCCTGCGCCCTGAGCTGCGAGGCCGGGGGAGGAGGGGGTGGGCCTGCGGAAACCGGGGCGGCGGGGCTGCGGACACCCCGAGACACACGGATGACCTGGAGCCCTCACCACGGTGCCCTGATTTAGGACAATCATTTCCTCCATAAACTCACAACCTAGAGCTGGGAGCTAGCGAGTGCCCAGGCCCCAGCTCCTGCCCTGGTGCATAGAAGGGACTAAATGTCAGAGGAGGACGCCCAGCCCGGAATGGGAGGGACGGAGGAGGCCACAGCCCCTCCACCCCCCTTACACACACACACACACACACACACACACACACACACACCTGCAGGGGATCCGCCGGCACCACTGTGCAAAGCGAAACCCACGCCGGGTGCGAAGCAAGTGGCACGTGTTGCCCTCACACTCAGACAACACAAAGGTGGGCGTTCACACGCCCACAGCCCAAGCAGGAGCGCTCTTGTCATTCTCAATGAATGTTCACTTCCCGCCCAGTGAGAGGGAGGAGGGCATGCGTCCCTGAGAGCTCAGGGAACAATGGGTGTTCTCCCAAAACAGGATTAATAGGACTCATGGGAGTTTAACGTCATGGCCAACAGCAGTGGGTGTTCTGGAGGCAGAAACGCCAGTTCGAATTGGTTGGAGGAATGAACGTGGGGCACAGGGACAAGGAATGCACCCCGTTTTGTTTTCCTCCCCAGCTTTTGCGTGGCCAGCCACTCAGAAAGCTCTGGGCAGGGGCGGCGGCTCCCGCTGACACCCCACAGCCAACGCGGTTACAGGTTGTGCCCCTCCCGGCTGACGGGTACCGGGGATGGGTACCGTCTTGCCATGACACCGTTTTCCTTAGCATCTACTTGTCAATAAACTCCGGAGCTCGCTTCTCAGTCGCCTCCACTGCGAGAGGAAACAATGACACAGCGGCTGTGGGGTGAACTGATATGAAAAATATCAAACGCTGAGGGAGAGAGGCGAGGCCAGACTCAGCCGCGGTGACAATGGAGGCTTTATCCCAAGGACAATAGTGAATGGTCCGGGGGTCAGGGAAGGGAGTGACGAGATGAGCGTGCTAGGAAGCACACCGTGAGGACTGGAGTGGAAGCCAGCAAGACTGCGGACGGGGAGATACGTTGGAGGAAGCGCAGGAAGAGCTGGCGAAGGCCTGAACGAACCCAGCAGCTCTAAGGATGGCAGGAAGAGGAAAGAGTGAAGACACGTGAAGGGGGTGGCAATGCCAGCACTTGGTGTCTCGTCGGCTGTCCGTCTTCCCTTCCCAACCCCGGGTCAGCTTCTGAAGGGCTAAGTCTCTACAGTAGATGCCTTTGTGTTGGTTCCATTACGTTACCTGTGGACCAGGCGTTCAATAAATATTTGTCGAATGAATAGAAAAAAGCCAAAACATTAACCAGGAGCAGATATTAAGGTATGAGATGACACGCGTCTGACCCAGGTCATTCAGCCTCACGCTCCCCATTCCAATTCGGTTCTCATTTACCTTCAAAGTATTTGTCCGGCTCCGCAAACCCGTGGTCCAGCTGCTGCGTGCTCTGCCCGCTGAAGAGCCCGTAGGTGATGACCACGCTGCCGTTGGAGAAGGTGTCGCTGACGGCGATGGTGCTGCTGACCCAGCTAGGGGTCCCCAGGATGACGCAGATCACCACGAACGCCCCGAAGCTCATGAAGAAGCTCGATAAGAATGTCAGTGTCTTCGCAGTGGAAGGCATCGTCCCAGGTAAGCACGGTCCTAGGGGAAAAGGCAGGTGTATCTTGGTGGGAGGTCTGTGGGCCTTATCATTTGGAGTCTGGAACTGAGGAATGGAGTCGAGTCATCCTTAGTTGTAAAATATAAGCGCTCACTCTTCATAAGGAAGGGTTACACCAATGAGCACTGGACTATGAACATGGTCATAAAGATTTGCAGGAGCTGAACTTTGGTCTGGAGTGGGAGGTTGCTATGGTGACAGCCAACCAGCAGGAACAAAGGGGAGCATGATCTTCCTGAGAGCTCCCAGTCTCACCATTAATCTGTAACTCCCGGGCCAGTGTCGCGGGAGGAAGGTCAGCTTCCACGACAGGGCAGAATTTCTGAAGCATGAGGGAATGGGGGGTCCGTGCCCCCAAAGCTTGCTGATGCTAGCAACCAACCACATTGGGTCTGAACTCACCCCCAATTGCTTGGCTGGTTACTAACTTGGCCCTAACCATCGTTCCAAAGGGAGCCCTCAGGAGCACGCCTCTGCCAAAGGCACCATGGAGTGGTCTTTTGTAAATCGTCTTTCAACATCTTGAAATGACATTTTTTATTTCTTCCTTGCCTGGGAGTAAGTTTTGAAAATAATTATATGACAGCATTGTTTCTATTTTTATTAGTTACAGGTATTTCTACTTTGCGACGATTTTGATTAAAGATTGTGGTCTTACAATATTTACTCCTTGGATTTTATTGGTGTTTTTTTTTTTTTTTTTTTGAGGGGAGGCAGTCAATTGAAAAGCTACTTTTATAAATGTTTACAACATTTTATATCACTCAATACCATTCAGTTTTGTGGGCTCACTATCATTCATTTAACAATGTTCTGTTTGGGACATTTTCGCTATTATTAAATTCTGTTGCGCACATAGCCTTACTTAGATAGAGATTGTTAATCCTAGCCTTGGGATAAATTCCTAGAGAAGAATGGCTGATTCAGGCAGACAGTTTTGGATTGGACATTTTTTAAATTTTATCTTTATTGTTGAAAGTATTACAGATGTCTTCCTTTCCCCCATTGGCCCCCTCCACCCTGCTCCCACCCACCCCCAGGCCTTCTCTGCACTATCATCTAAATCCATAGGTAATACACACTGAGTGGCCACGTGATGATGATCTCTGGACACAAAATAATCTGGCCACTCAGTGTATATCCTATACAATAAAATGCTAATATGCAAATTGCCTCATGGGGGCTGTCCTGTCCGACCGCTGCTCTGCTCTCAGACATTGCGAGTGACCCCCTGACATCTCTTTTATCTTACCTGGGCCCTGTGTGCCTGATCTTCCCCAAACTTCAGTGCTTAGCTAGATGCCTTGTCATCATTCCTCCAGGAGGGACGAATGTACAGAGCTTTGACAAGGTACCCACATCTCAAATACCCAAGTCCAGCTCCCACAAGTTGGGGGTAACAGGAGCCCCGTTTCCTGGTGCAGGCCCTGAAACAGGGTCGCCTCGTCATGCCCTCTCTCCATCTGTCGTGTTTCTCGTGGGCCTGTTCCTGCGCTCACAGATGTGCCTGGAACTAAGACGGTAGCACATCCATAGATCTTGAGTTGGGGGAGGATTGCTGGTGACTGAAATTTACTTTTTATTCCTTTTTAGTTTGGGGAGGCAGGTCTGTGATGGCGCTTCAAGCCCAAACGCCCTCCACCCAGAAGTGGGACTATTCCAGGGCCTAGCACCTTGGTTAGGAGTCAGCGGAGGCCAGGGACCCCGCCGGGCGCGGACGGCAGGAAGGAGGGCTAGGGCACACCACGGCCGGGCGTGGGCGGCCTCGGGGAGGGATGTCAGAGCCTGGGGTGAGGAGGCCCCTCAGAGAGAGCACAGCTGCGAGCACAGACCTTTACAGGCAGGGGACCGCTCGACCCACCCCCGAGGTGCAGGGGACGCAGAGCTGGGAGGTGGCTCTGCTCAGGAGAACAGTCATTGGGTGCCGTTGTTGCAAATGTTACATCTGTGGTTACCGCCTCTGAGTCCTTCGTAACGCTTTCTGAAGTAATTGGCTGTGACACTCTCTACGTTGTAATAAGGACCCTCGGAGGATGCACCTAGTGTTTGTATAATACAGGACCATCAGAGGTAACTTGTGCAGGAGAGAAACGTGGCAGGAGATGCTACCCATTGTCCAGGTCCTCTCCTGCCTGCTCCGCACCTGCTGCTCGCGGCTCCTGCTTTGGAAGGTGCTGATACGAAGAGAGGAAGGTCCGCTGTGTCGCCAAAATGCATGGGACAAGCTGTCTCCCTTTTTCTTTTTACCGCAGTTGGCGGCTGCTGATCTCTCCTTTTGTTTATCTTGCGAGCTATGAAATATCAGAGGGTTGTTTTTAAAAACCACAAATATTTATCTCATAACTCAGAGAGCTCTGGAGATACACTGGAGTTTATTTTACTCCTTTTGATTAGCTCATGTATGTGTATGCTCCTGCTATAACATGTGTGCGGTTTACCTACATATTGGGATCGCTTTCATGGAAAACTACCTCAAGAAGGACATTTTCCAGGAAAGAGGCAATTCTAAAAACACACATCCTTTCTGAAAGTCCCATTGCTCTAGGAAAGCAAACGTTTAAAAGCTACGTCTTATCTTGTTTTAATCACGGATAAAAAAAAATAGCTGCCTATATCCTGTTTACCAAGTTCCCTCAGGATATCGCCGTGCAACCACATCCTGTTACCCCTTTCCCCCCAGTTCCCAGAGCACAGCGGAGCTGGGCAGGCGGCAAAGCGGGGCGCAGGGCCCATCACTCCACGCATGACGGCGTCCGGGGTTACCGGCCTCGGCTCCTGGTGAGGATGTATGAAAGCCACGCAGTCGGCTCATTCTGCCCGCGCTCTCTCCGAGGTCTGCAGCTTCTGGAGGAAGGCGAGGGGGGGGGCTACATTTTTGCCCGAGCGCCCGCCTTTCTGAGCGAGGTTTTCAACGCTGAAGGCCCAGGAGACAGATGACAGTTGCAGGCGTCCAGCGGAATGACCTGGTACGTGACCATCCTGGGAGGCGGTCACGGCAAGAAGCCCGGTTGCCATGCCTCCCCACCCAGTTACAATTCCTTCTCTGTGGTGAGAATCTCCAGCAGGTGAACTTAGCAAAGGATATATAGTCAATACATGGAAAGGGAGAGCAATAACAAGGATCAAAACTGAAGCAGGAAAAAAAAAAAAAAAAAGAGGTTTAAATGTTTAAAAAGGTCCGGTTGCCACACTGGCCAGTGGGCTCAGTGGTTAGAGCGCCGGCCTGCAGACTGAAGGGCCGTAGGTCCGATTCCCAGTCAAGGGCACAGAGCTGGGTTGCAGGTTCAATCCCAGGCCCAGGCCAGCATGTGTGTAGGAGGCAATCAGTTGATGTGTCTCTTACATCGATGTCTCTCTCTCTCCCTCCCTTTTCCCTCTTTCTAAAAATCAATGGAAAAAAATACCTTGGGGAAGGATTAAAGAATAACAATAAAAAATAAAATCTTCCGTGGCTTGCCGGGCAACGGCCGGTGATATTGTGTACATAGAATTAGAGGCCCAGACAGTGGAGAAGGAGGAAAATATTTGTGAAGAAATAGTGTCTGAAATTTTTTTCCAAATTAGACAAAAAGTCTAAGCTTATAAAGCAAAAAGCACAACGAATCCCAAGTAGGACAGACACAAAGACAACCACGCAAATCCCCGTTTTAACCCGGTGCCCATAAAAAAGCCACCCTGCGGAGAAACCCCTTGAAAACAGCCAGAGGAAAAGACTCGTCGCCCGAGCTCTCCATGTAGGTAGCAAAACATGGGTCTCAAGAGGATGCTGTCGTGGGAAAGAAAGTAGGAAGGAAAGAGCTCACACTGAAGGTTCCGTCCATGGGGTGAGATGGATCAGGCAGAGAGACCCCGAGCGGCTGCCTCGGGCCTGGGGGCAGGGCTTCCCGGGACAGGCACGTTCTCCACAACGGAAGTGTTCCCAGAGGGAAGCTAAGAGTTAGGCTTGAGGATGAGGAGGATGAAGCAGCTCTGCTTTCCTGGGACGTGCCGGAAGCTATGCGAAGGGCCCGCCCCCGGGGCTTCATGGATCACTCAGGGTTTCTCCCTGGGCGTGGCTTGGGAGTGGGGGCAGGGGAAGGACAATCCAGTGAGGTAAAAGCAGAACGTTCTGTCCAGTAGACACATTCATTCTGGTTCATCCTGAGGCCAGAATAGCCACCCCAAGGTCCCTCTTTGTGGGGGTCGGCCCTGAAGTAGGTTTGCCCGGCCTGCCACCCTCAGCCCATCACCCATCATAAGCCTCTGACTTTGTCTCTTAGGCCAGTGGTCGGCAAACTCATTAGCTAACAGAGCCAAACATCAACAGCCTGAAGATGGAAATTCCTTTGGAGAGCCACATTTTTTAAACGTAAACTTCTCCTATCACCACTTCTTCAACATAGACTCACCCAGGCCGGGGTATGTCGTGGAAGAGCCACACTCAAAGGGCCAAACAGCCGCATGTGGCTCGCGAGCCGCAGTTTGCTGACCACGGTCCCAGAGGAATGTCATGGTCCTAGAGAAACGTGATGTCCGTGTGCCTGTACGTGGTTTAAAAGCAACTCCGATGGGCTTTCTTACAAACCGATATTGCCGTTTCGCTTAGCCTCCTGGACTGCATGCCTGGTCTGAGCGTTGTCATTCTCGGTGACTTTGTCATCGAGCCCCTCAGGGTGAGGAACGTTACCGGGGTTCCCTGGAGGAAATCCAAATGGCCAGGCCTCGAGCGCCGAGAAAAACAAGACACACTCACAGTCCAGTTACTGTGCCTGGTCACAGGAAACTGCCCCAGCCGCACTCTCAGGGCCGGGGCAGGGGCCGGGGCAGGGGCCAGGGCAGGGGCAGGGGCAGGGGCCGGGGCAGGGGCAGGGGCCAGGGCAGGGGCCGGGGCAGGGGCCGGGGCAGGGGCAGGGGCAGGGGCTGGAGCTGGGGCAGGGGCAGGGGCAGGAGCTGGGGCAGGGGCCGGGGCAGGGGCAGGGGCA